GAATTCTGGGAGTTGAAGTCCATACAGCTTAAAGTTGCCAAGGTTGAGAAGCACTGCCTTAAAGCATTAGAAAATTTAGCAACCGCTCACCAACTTTGCTGGTTGGAACGCACTTCTTCTGGGCAGGATCGTACGTGGTCGCGGCCGGGCAGGCACAGTGGAAACTGCCCCGAGTGTTCTCACAGCGCCCGTTCACACAGTTTGACTCGTCCAAGCACTCATCTACATCTAGGGCAGAAAAGGCAATGGGAACTCACAGCCAGGAGTATCCAGATTGACAATAAAACAGGGCCTGGGATCCCGAGTGCCAGTCACAGGGCCTCCAAGTTAGATGTTTCCTTTAGAATTACAGTTGTTTGCTTAATCAATCAATCAATCAATCAATTTGTATGGCCGCCCATCTCAACGAGTGACTCTGGGTGCCAAACAAAACTAAAGTCAAATTAAAAACAGCGACAACCGACAATCGTTCTTGTTTTAAATAAGGCTTTATCACGACTTCTCCTGCCTTCCCCTCTCCCCTTGGCATTTTTTGAGCTCACAAAATTTAATTTGTAATTGCCCAGGATAAGACACTTCACCTTCTCAACCTGGCACCCATCAGATGTGGAAATGCACAGGGTTGGAAGGCTTCCACTGTTTAGATTTTGGTGGCTTTACTTTAAAGCAGCAAGGTTTTGAGGCAGGGCCCACACATTTGGATCAGCCGGGCTCTCCTTCTGAAGGGCCTTTTCCCCAGCAAACATGGTTGATCCTGTGGTTCCCTTAACTTCTGGGAGAAAATATTTTTGCGTCTGAATGAAAGAATCTCAAAAGATTTTGAAACAACCACAGCAAGAAAGCATTAAGGGAAAAAAAGCACATTGCTAAACTGTCCCTTAGAGCAGGGTTTGTCAATCTTAGCAACTTTAAGATGTGTGGACTTCAACTCCCAGAATTCCCCAGCCAGCATGCTGGCTGGGGAATTCTGGGAGTTGAAGTCCACATATTTTAAAGTTTCAGAGGTCAGAATTACTCCCTGCGCTGGGCTTTCCTTCCTACCGACACACTCCAAGAGATTGGCATCGTAGTAAAAGCCGTGCTTGCAGTAACATTCGTAGCCCGGCTGGGTGTTCACACATTTGCCTTCTTTGCAGATCTCTTCGCCAAACAGGGTGCATTCGTCTATGTCTGTGGAGGAGAAGGAAGAAGAAAGATGAGGAGATGGAAAACAGGGGAAGAGGAGAAGGAAAAGAAGGAAGAAGAGATGAAGATGGAGGAGGAGCAGGAAGGGGAAGGCAAAGAGAAGGAGAAGAAAAGAAAGATGAGATGGAGGAGGAAGAGGAGGAGGAGAGGAAGAAGAGAAAAGGTAAGGATGGAGGAGGAGAAAGAAGAAAGATGAAGAGATGGAAAACAGGAAGAGGAGAGGAAAAGAAGGAAGAACAGATGAAGATGGAGCAGGAAGAGGAGGACAAAGAGAAGAAGAAAAAGGAGATGGAGGAGGAAAGGAAGAAGAGAAGAAGGAAAAAGAGATAGGGATGGCAGAGGAGGAAAGGAAGAATAGGAGGAGGAGTAGAAGGTGAAAGAGGAGACGAAGGAGAAGGAGAAGGTTGGTGAACAGATCCCTGCATTACCAAAATGGCACAGCTTTCGCGTGACCACCCCCAGACGCAGCCACCCGTCATCCTGCTTCACTGGCCACGCGGGAGGAGACCAGCAGCACCTCAAGAGCCGGGGTGGGCCCACCTCTGCCCTGAGGCCACTCAGCGGCTTCGCTGGGGAGGGGAAGGCTGGGAAAGGGGGCTGGCTCCCCAGAGGGGCGCTGCAATGCCCCCCCCTCCGATCCCACGAAGGCCACCTCGGAGGGACTCTGCCCTCACGGCTCTTCAGGTGCCGGGCACCCAGCCACTCACCACGATGTGTCGGGACGCCGTAGTTCAGGTCAGTCTCATCCAGGATGAAGCCCTTCCCGTCCGGGCAGAGAGTGTGGAACTCAACTGTTCCAGGGAAGGAAAAGAGAGGTTGATGTCTCAATCGTGGTTTATGATGACGCACAGGCCTCCAGGAACAGGACGCTTTCACCGGTACCAGAAAGGGCCCTGGCAGTGGGACGATCCCCTCCGGCCCACAACGGTTTGCTCTCACCGACACCCAGCGGCAGTTTGAGAAGCAGCTTCTCATGCTGTTTGGCCAGTGGGGCCAGTGGCTGGACGACACCCTTCTGCCCCATCGCGCCACCTTCCTTCCTCCACCCCAGCACCAGGCTGAGGAATGCCAGAAGACGGCAAGAAGGGACTAAACAGGTCCTAGAGATCTTGACTAATTCTCAGGATTTCTGGCTAAATGCACATAAGCCAGGATCTGACTATGCACTAAGCTTCGGTTACCCTGTTTGTTGAATAAGCCACTGCCTTCCTTATGCTGGTCTTGGATCCAATTAAAGATGAATGAATGGAACATTTGCCTTCCACAGGGCACCCTCCCAATAATGTGCATTTATTCCCAGAATTCTTAGCCAGGGCCATGCTGGCTGAGAATTCTGGGAAGGGAACCATACCTCCTGAGAGCATCCATGCTCCAAATGGCCGCAGAGGGCCAGAACCTTGGTAGACAACATCATTCGCTGGATTCACACAGCCGACCAAGCCACAGACATGACAGCTTGGTGCAAAGCACTGGCCTGTCCCTTCCACCTTAAGCTGAGTATAGGACAGGGTAATTACAATTTACTTGACCTGAGTTTCCAACACGGGTAATTTCCAATTTAATTTGTGTTGAGCATGGGGCAAGGGTAATGTTGAACCTGAGTTTGGAACGTGGGTAATGTTGGCTTGACTTGAGCTGGGCACAGGCCAGGCTAATTTGCAGCTGACTCAAGCTGAGTTAGGGACGTGGATAATTTGCAACTTAATCGGTATTAACACAGATTTCCAACTTACTCGAGTTGAGGACGGGGCACGGATAGATTTCACAATGGTCCCCCCAGCCCGCCCCCAGCGAGCAGCAGCATTCCTGGCGAGTGATGTTGGTAGCAAGGACACTGTCACAAAACACACTGTCATCGAAGTTCAGGTAGCACTCCTTTTTATGGTGGGGCAGCTCTGCGGAGAAATGCCACCGTCACCGCGTGCCCCCGAGGGATTTCTCCCACCTCGGGGGTCCCGCCTCCTCCGCGCTTTCTCGGCTTCCTCACCCACCTTCGCAGCTCTGCCGGTCTTTGGAAGGAGCGAATCCCTCATCACACACGCACACAAAGGAGCCTTCGGTGTTCTCGCACACCCCGTGCGGTTGGCAGAGGTGAGGAGTTTTGGCACACTCGTCGATGTCTGGGGAGGCATGGTGCTGGTTTGTGCAACGGAGAGAGGTGCCCTTGCTTTCCAGACCCCAACTTTTAGGGAACTGTTCACAGGCGCCCCCACTGATCCAGCCGTGGGGAAACACAGGGTTCACTTGCAAGCCCCAATTTGCTGGCAAGGGAGATCGGAGGAGAACCCCCCCCGCCACACGCACCAACCTTGGCATTTTCGATTCCTCTCCAACTGGTATCCACTCCGACAAAGACACTGGTAGGACCCCACTGTGTTTACACACTCGCCCCCAATACAGGCGGCAGGGAAGTCACACTCGTTCACATCTGTAAGGGCAGAAAGATTAAAAAGGGAAAAAACCCATAAAAATCCTGGCCCAGTTTGTGATTTGCTCAGAAGTCATGTTTTCCAGCCTGGGGGGAAAAACACATCTCCAACGTGACAGGGGCAGGTGTAAAGTCTGTCAGGATTTATCAGCAGGAAATGACAGGGAACTCTGCACATGCTTAATGGCATCCTTGTCTTTCATGCTACTTGTTAGCTTTGGGGGCTATGGGGTGGCTCTAGATCAACCCTGGAGTCCTTGGGGCTCCTGAGCTTGGTGATTTGCTTGCAGACGTCTCGTTACCCAACTAGGTAACGTCATCAGCGCAAGGGAGGGTGGGGTTTATATGCAATGGCTTACCCTGCCCACCCTGGGGGTGATGGGGTGGTTTTCTCTTTGGTAGTTCCTCAATTACTTTCTGCCTGCCTGATCTGAAACCTTCTGTATCTCTGGATAAGCAAACACGCTCACACCCCCTCTGATATGCCAACCTTTTCCCTGATCTCAAAAGAATATACAGCTGAATATCATGAGCAAAATAATCTTGGATTCTATTTATTTTTTTCAACAAATGAATGGCTTCTGATGCTCAGAAGACACATGCGGACAGGCCCAGGCCTTCTGCACATGCTCAAGAGTTCTCCTTCACAGCCACAGAACAAAGTTCCCTTCCCATCACTGGACAGGAGTTCATACAAGACCCCCCCTCCCCTCTCTCACCTTTGCAGCGTGGCCCGTCCTTCACCGCCTGGAAACCCACCGGACACTGGCACTTGAAGGACCCCAGCGTGTTCACACAAACCCCGTGGGTACACAACGAACCATTCTGGCACTCGTTGACATCTGCAGGAAGACAGATTAATCCGTCCAGCTCTGCTTTGTTGCCTTCCAGAAGTGGGGGACTACTGCTCCCATAATCCTTTACCCATCTTGGCTGGGGTGGAAGGGAACTGTAGTCATCATCTGGAAGGCTACAGGTCAAGGAAGTCTAATGAAGCAGATGACAGCCTGAGGACTTGATTGCATTAGACTCCAACCGTTCAGGGCAGGGCCAGTTCTGCTCAGGCCTCCTCCTTCTTCCTCCCAACAGCCCTGCGGGGCAGGCCAGGATGACGCCGCCGTCAGTTTAGTGCCAAACACCAAACTCTGGCGTTGCAAAAAGAAAAAAACCCAAATCCTTTCATGTGGAGTGAGCTGGGTCTTTCTGCTAGCGGCACGCAGGGCGCGGAAAGCAAATTACCAATGCAGCTGCGGGAATCCGGTGCAGGTACGAAGCCCTCCCCACAGGAGCAGCGGAAGGAGCCGGCCACGTTCTCGCACCAGCCATGTTTGCAGGTAGCCTCCTCGGCGCACTCGTCCACGTCTGTGGGGAGAACAGGCCAATGAGCTTTCTGCACCCGGGGGCTGCGATCGGTGAGGTGAACTCAGCCACGGCGGAGGGCAAACCAGGGTGTACGTCGGAGCTGTGCTGTTGGCTCAAAGACTGCAGCAGATTTTGCGAGATACGTGGAGAGCTGATTTTGAGAAGGGGCTCAGGGATGTTAAGAAACGCCTTTGCCAAAAACCCAACAAGATTTGAAAACAGGTTGACATTCTTGGTCCCGCACATTCTGGAAAAGTTTGGGGGGCTACTAAAAGTATGCTATTGAGATTCACTTTTTGCATCCCAATTAACATACTCAGACAGACCCAGCATTCGTGGCTTTGGACCCCAATTTCATGGCTCAGCACGTCGTCTGATCTACTCAATAAACTGGGCTTAAACAAACCGTGATGTAGGGTGGCATGTGAACCCAGTTCCAACATTCTGCCAGAAGCCTGACTTGAGCCACATCACAAAATCCACAGGGCCCCACAACAGATGTGCAAATCTGTAACTCAGTTTTGCAGAATTTGATTTGCAGAACAAGAGAGGTTTTCCTTCAAGTGCCTGTTTTTTTTTTAGTTTTTGCCATAGCAAAGAAGACAAAATCTGTGTAAGTGCTTTGCCTTTTTTTTCTAGTCATGAGGACTAGACTCTTAACTCTTTTTAAAAACAACTATAAAGTATGACAATTTTCCTAAGGCTGAGAGTACAGTAGTTGTGGCCGTCTTACCGTAACATATGCCATTTTGGGCCCGGAAACCTGGCTGGCAGGGGATACATTTATAGCTCCCAGGTTTATTTTCACATCTCCCGTCAGGGCATGTTCCTGAGTCAAGACATTCATCAACATCTGAAAGGAGAACAAGTGTAATTAAAAAAAAAAAAGATTATCAGAAAAGAAAAATATGTCAGTGCTGACGAAACTGGCTAACTTGGCAAAACTAACTTTTACTTAATTGGGGCATTTTCCCCCTACCGTTCCATTTGATGGAAAAAAATGTTGCTTTTGACATTTTTTCCAGGAGAAGAGAACGTGGGTGAGATCTCCAGAGGGTTTTTGAACATATTTACTGATGCACGCCTTCTCTTTCCTTGTACAACTCGCTCTCCAGAGGTCTGCAATTTCCCACCCTTCCGTTTCATATCAAGGGAAAAACTGCTCCACGGGAGATGTTTCAGCCGTGTTATGGGGGAGTCCCACCCTGGGGAAGAGTTGCAACGTTTTTCCTTCCCTGGGATAAATTGTCCGCCATACTTAAAACGGTTTGAACCGTCCACACTGCGACCGGCGCCGTTCTGACGCTATTCCGGCTGCACGGTAGCACCTCAGGCTCAGAATGGCTGCTTCTGGCTCAAAATGTTTTGTTCGCGGCTTCCTGCTCGGTAATTCCTCCAACATCCAACTTCTTTGGATTAAATGCCTGCTCCCCGATGAAGGCCCGGTTTAGCCACAGACTGGGGAATTTCCCAACCTGCGTCCCGCCCTGCGTACCCTCGCAGAGAGGCTGCCGAGAAGGCTTCAGCCGGTAACCGGGATGACAGTCACATTTATAGTGTCCTGGGAAGTTGATGCAGGAGCCGCCATCTCCGCAGACGCTGGGCCTGGCGCATTCATCGATGTCTAACAGGGGAAGAGGGGAGGCGAAAGAGTGAACGAAGGGGGAGGTCCGGGGTGTCCCCAGCATCTCCCCCGCCTCAAGATCTTGGAAGTCTCACCCACGCAGGATCGGACACCCTTCTGCACTTTCAGCTGGTAACCCCGGTTGCAGTGGCAATTGTACGACCCGCCTGTGTTCATGCACACGCCTTTCCCGTTGCCACACAACTCCAATTCACACTCGTTTACATCTGGGGGGGAGGAAAGAATTGGAAACGCAAGCGAGGACACGGTCCCCTCTCGCTGCAGAAAGGAAGAGCGCCGTGGCTAGGTTTGCGTGGCACAAATAAATCACGATTAACCCCTAAACTACCACTTTTCCCCTCTTTACTCCAGGCAGCTCCTCCCAGAGTCGAACTTCCCTCCAATGACAATTTTTCCCCGGGTCTAAGGTAAGCAATGCACGCGAGGGCGGTTCAACAATCTCCAGTGCAAGGCGGGCTGTACCCCGTATCTCATTCCGGCCCTGTTTATTTTAGCAGCTACGTAAGCCACCCGAGTGCTACTAGGGAGGAATGGGTGCCACTTCAGTACCCATCACTCTGCATCCTCGTTTGGTGAGCAGAGAAAAGAGAAACTTCCGCGTCTGAGAGCGCTCCGGGTTTAAACCAAAGGAGGAGAATCAAATCAGTCAATAAAACCACTTGCCCGCCTGAAAGTTCATTCAAAACCCGCCCAAACACCATCAGACAAAGATAACAACAATACTAATATTAATACTAATGGAATATGGCAGGAGCAACTGAGGCTAGGATTCGGTCAACACGGAAGGCTCGGTTTTAAGAGTTGGAAAGAGATGGCTGAATGGAGAAAGAGGTTATCCACCCACGTGCAGAAGGCTTTTGAGGTCCGGCCAGCCAGAAGCTACAGAGCTATATTTTATTAGGTGTAAAAGAGATTGACTTATTATGCATTATTTTATTGAAAAGATTTGTACGGCAACAATAAAACCCAGAACTATAAAAATCATAAACCATTAAACCATAAAACCAAAACAAAAGCCGGTGCCTCTATTATCCTCTTGGGGTGCCCCAAACCAACTCCAGACATCCTCACTCATGGAACACCCTCCACCCCCCCATGATTCGGCAGGCCCCCACCCTTTCGGCCTCAACATCTGGCTGGTAGCGCCTGGGTTAAAAGCCAGATGTTGATGGCCTTCCAGAAGGCTGAAAGGGTGGGGGCCTGCCGAATCACGGGGGGAGGGTGTTCTATCAGGTAGGGGCAGCCACAGAAAAGGCAAAAATATAAAATATAACTCTAAAAAGCCTGAAATAAAAGAGATGTTGGGAGGTCGTAAGTGGAAACTCAACCTTATGACGCTTGTTCTACTGTGCCAAACTGATCCGAGTCCAGACTGGAGTGGGGAGAAGACGGAGGTCCGTCTGAAGGAAGCTGCTTCTTACCTACGCAGTAGCTGTGCTGCGGGTGCAACCGATAACCTTGGTAACACTGGCAGGTGAATCCGGTCCGAGTGGGGATACACTCGCCGTGGCTGCAGATGTTGCGGTTCAACTTGCAAATGTCGATCTCTGTGCGTGGGGAAGAGACAGAAAGGCAGAGAAAGCACCTGAGACATTCACAGCCGCTCCATCGATTGGCCGGGCGCCCGGCGTTTCGAGGCGAAGCCTTCAAGCTCAGTTCCAAGTGAAAGGTATCTAAAGAAATCTAAATATTGGCCAGGCCAGGGAAAGCATCTGTATCTCTGTGAGTGAGAAGGGAAGGTTACACTGACTTATCTGCAGCTAAAGAATAAAAAATCAGGTTATTGCTAATTTAATTTAATTTAATTTAATTTAATGTATCTGCTGCCTGACTCCCAGCAACTCTGGGTGGCCATGGGTATTTTGCAAATTTCAGACTAACAGGGAAGGGTGTCCTGACTCGTGGGCTGGATTCACACAACACAGGACAACCTAAACCCAGGTCAAGAAAAACCTAAACGCTGGGCAGATGTATCATGCTATACTGGGTCTTAATGTGCTGGGCTGGTTCGCACAACAGGGAAAGGCTTGAATCCCACAGACAATCCAAGCGCCCTTTGCTCCATTCAAAGCGTGTTGGGCAGATCCGGTTGCTTTATTTTTAAAAAAATTCTTTCAAGAAAAGCGGACCTGATTTGGGGCATTGGAACTCACCAGTCTCTTGCGTTGGAGGCATGTAAAATTCGTCCATTCTCTCCTCTTCGGGATACTTTACCACGACCGCGATGGTGGGCTTGGTGATGACCACTGCAAAGTCGAAGGGAACGCCAGTTAAGAAAATGCCCGCCCAGACCAGGCTGGGAGATGGTGCAGAGAACACTCGCTCGCTCGCTCGCTCACCGGGGTACCGAGGACCGAAAGTCGGGGTGTTGCCGTAAACTACGCCCTGCTCTTCCGAAGTCGTCGCATCTCTGGGCAACTGGAGATGTTGGGAAAGGAAACGGGAAAGAGACAATTAAGCGGAAGATGGGAGATCGCTGTGGCTAGGCGATTCTTCAGAATGGCTAGGAATTGAATGATGGCTATATATTTGTATTTTTGTAGAGTTCTTTGGGATTTCTTGCTGCGCGCAAGAGGGGCGAGGCTTGGCTCTGCCACCTAGCCTGCTTCGACCCCTGCTGGTCACGATCGAAGCGCCATACAAATATTTGGAAAGAAATCCATGCCGGAAATTCTTTCTCCCAGAATCCCCCCCAGCCCAGCCAGTGGAGTCCTGGGAAGCTCCAGTTCCAACTAACACCAGTCCAAACTCTGCACACCGTTTTCCCCCTAGCCAAGCCTTCCATGTTCTCCCTGTCTTCTTCTCCAAGCACTTGAGAATTTGACTATGTCCAAAATCTTTCCCTTTGAAAAAAAGGCGGAGGACAGGTCCAGATGACCTCTGGAGACCCCTCTACCAACTTCTGGTGGCTCATGTTTCAATCAGCAACCATCTGGGACTGCATTATATTTGAAGATGGCCACCAACTTCTTTTCCAGCGCCTCCCATACAGATTTTTTACCTCTTCCACAGTTCTGCAGTGGGTCTGGCACTTACCATCGCTGGAGTAACAGCTGCAAAACAGAAACCAGAGACAGGGTGGCGATCAGAACTTTTGATGCGAATTAATGCGCGGGTGAACACACACCATTCTTCTACTGGTCTACGCAGTGATGAAACTGCACCTCCATAATAACCTGTGTGCAACCCAATTCCACTGTAGCATTTTCTAAAGCTTTTATAAAGTGCTAAGCAAAATAATATTTTTATGTGCAGCTCTCTAGCTTCAGAGGTTTCATTAGGCGGTATTCTTGGATTTCCCAGGACTAGAAACTGCTTGTTCTTTTTCATACACAGCACACCTCTGCAATCATAAAGGCCAGGAACATGCTTATTTTCCTTTTTTCTAAAAAAAGAATCCAAGTCCTCTGCGGTTAAAAAAACAATGACAACATCTCTGCAGTTATAAAGTCCAGAAACGTCCTTTCCTCTTTAAGACTGCAGTAAATCACTGAGACGCTTTGGTAGCTGGCGGTAAACCAACTCAAATAACTCCATCTATAAAACAGCTTTCCAATCTGTTCTTTGGCAGAAGAATTCTGATATGCCCCCGTTATGATTTCAATCCAAACTCACTTCAGTCTGAAATAAAAGCTCCAAATCCCAGCGTTAGATTTTGCCCTTATCTGGGAAAAAGCAAACCCAAGTTTCTAGGCCTCAAGCTGCACCGAGCAATGTGGCAGGATCAAACTCAAAATGCCACTTTTCACACAGCAGGTTGTCCTTCAGCTGGGTTGGGATTGGAGTAGTCAGAAAAGGGGAATCGGCTTTAAAATCATGACCTGCAGCGGAACGAACGCTCTGGTTTTGTATAGCTGGGCTTAAGGATCCGGGAACCAAGTCTGGCTGAAAAGCGGAATCCAGAAAGACAAAATCTAAAAGGCCCCTCAATACTGGATCTACTTGTGGATAAGCCAAGAAGTTTAGCTGCCAAAATACACCAAAAATTGGATTCAGCTTACCTGTGGATGGGCTTATCCACGATATATACGGTAATACTTTTTTAAAGTACCCGTATATCCCTGCATATAAGCCCATCTGCAGGTAAGCCGAACCTCGAATTTTTAACCAAAATACCATGAAAACTGTTTCACATGTTAGCTTATTCACAGATGGCCATTTTTCATGGTATTTGGTTAAGAATTCAAGGGCCAGCTCGTCTGCAAATGGGCCTATATGCAAGGATATATGGTAAATGCAGAATCGTTCATAGTAATTCACATATTGCAAAGGAGCAAACACTCTTGGGTGTGGACAAAAATTCCTGGGCAAAACTGCTCTGACAGCAGCCTTCCTCAAGTGGAAGTGTTGGAATTGTCATTCCCAGCATTCCTAGCAGCACGGTTAATGGATGGCTGAGAATTCTGGGAGTTTGAATTCTACACTTACCTGGAGGATACGAGATTAGGAAAGGCTCCCCAGATTCTCTGCTCCACTTAAATAGCTATTATTGCTGCTGTTGTTATATAACAGTAACAGTAATAGTAATGGGGCTATTGCACACCTGTTCTTTGTTTTGAAATAGCTCTATTACTATTCCTAAATAAATTCCTAAATAAATAGTAATAGTACTATTCCTATTCTTAAAGGTTAATCTTTATTCCCCAGAACGCTTCTGGATCACTGGCTACAAAACGTTTTTAGAAAAGGAAAATGATGTGTGGGTACAATCCAGGATTTTGTTCAGAACAGCACACACGTCCAGAATAAAAGACGGCATTCACACAACACACCTAACCGAGTCATTCCATGCCCATTTTTGTGTGTGTGTGGACCAGCCCGTAACTAACCAGATAGCTGGGTTCACATTACATAAGACGTCACCAGCAAAACTAACCAAGTTTGAAGCTAGCCAAGCTCAGTGTGTTGTGCGAATGCAGTCTCGCAGAGTTCCACTGACCTGATTAAATGCCGTTCAGAAACAGGCAAGGAACGTCTTTGCATGGAAGTGGAATAAAAGAAGGGAATCGGCTTCACTACTCTGTTTTTAAGAAATGTCTGTTGTGACGGCCACACGCACGAAGGCAGCCATTTTGTGAAGGCACCCACTGCCCTCCCAATGTGTCCGGGGCACCAAGACGCGTCTGCTCTCCTCCCGCGCAGGAGAACCCACCTTCCGCTTCCTGCGAATCGCTGCCCAGGGGAGGAGGAGTGGGGGGCTCCAGGCGCTGCTGTGGCAAGTCGCTGGTGGCATCCGGGTGGATCTGGAGCAGGAACTCGCTCTCTCCCTGGATGGTCAGGGTTTGGTGCAAGGTCTGGATGTGGTAGCCCCTACCCGCAGGGCAGATTTCTCTGAACGCCGCTACCCAGCAGGGAGAGAAAACGAGAGGGTCGGACGGCCCCAGTGAGCACCCGGGTAACGTCTGCACGGCAAAGCGATGGGACGGAAGTGCGGCGGACGCGAGGATGGAGCAAGGACGTGTTGGAAGGGTGGCAGTGGAGGAGATGCTGTCCAGGATGAGCTTGCAAGCAAGGGAAACGTCCGAGAGCCTGGACTCTGCTTCCAGAAAGGCCCATGAGGATGAGCCAGACCGCCGTCTTCCCCTGAGCTCTCATCGGCCTCACCTCACCTCAGAAGACGCAGCCGGCTAAACTCCTAGCTGCCCGGAGGACTTGCGGAAGACGACTGATAAACAGCTAGGGGATCCACGGCCCAGCGTGAAATAAGGCGGTTTTCCCTTGTTGCTTCTTAAGTTTGCAATTACTCCAGACCCATGAGGACTAGAACCTTACTCTGTTTTGAGGGGGGATCTTGGAGGATCTCAGTGCTGGGGCTGGTGCAGTTGGGAAGATGTGTTACCATTCAAAGTAAGCCCAAGGATGCACAAATTGATCTCCAGGGCATTTGCAAACTCTCAAAGGCATCCCTGGAGTCTTTCCCATATTTGCTGACAAATTGTGTATGTGTGAGAGAGAGAAAGGAAACAGGGAAATACACAGAGGACCAGTCACTTCTCCTGCACCAGATGAATGTGATGCCACCGTAATTCAATTTTAATTAATTCTATCAAATTTATCCCCCATCTCTTGGATCTGCCACTGTGGGGAAGACAGCCCCTGGCCTGGCACTCTGCACAACCCTGGGACTGACAATCCGGAGAGAGCAAAGTTGTGCACTTCCAGGATAGCCAGTACTGAGTGAGGCAATTTGCACAACCCTGGGGCAGGCAATTTTGAACAAGCCCTGGATAGATGATTCTGGGTGAGTGAAGTTGCATACCCCTGTGACTGACAAACCTGGGACGCATAACTGCACAACCCTGGGGTTGACAATACTGGGGAAACACTGTGTAGATAATCCTGAGCGAACACAAACTAGTCAATTCCGAGTGAAGAAAATTGCACAGCCCCTGGGATAGGCAATCTTAGGCAAGCGCCGGATAGATAATCCTGAGGGAGCAAAACTGTACACCCCTGGTGTGCAATACTGAGGGAGAACAATTGCACAATCTTGGAATAGACAACTCTGAGCAAACTTAACTGCACACTCCTGGGGTAGGCAATATCGAGTACAGGGAGTCCTTGGCTTGTGTTGATTCGTTCAGCAACCGTTCAAAGTTATGGTGGCGCTGAAGAAATGGACATATGACCAGTCCCCAAAGTTCCGGCCATCGCAGCACCCCCGCAGGCACCTGATTGCTATCTGCAACCTTTCATGCCGGCTTCTCACAAGCAAAGTCAATGGGGAAGCCGGCAGGGAAGGCTGCAAGTCACTCTGGTAAGATGCTCCTACCTGCAGCTTTCCCCAATCTGCCCACAGCCTCCGCCAGCCCTCCCAGGTTTCCCCCGCCCCCCGCGGCACCCCTGTGCCCCTTACGGGACTCCCGCTGCAAGATCATTAAGGGGTTACGACAGCAACCAGGACTGCTGTCACTAAGCGATGCAGTCATGTGACATTGCGCTTTACGACTGCATCATTAGCAATGGCAATCCTGGTCCCAATTGCCGTCGTAACCTGAGGACTACCTGTCAGATCTCCTGAACGAGCAAAAGTTGCCCAACCCCAGGTAGCCCATTCTGAGTGAGTCAAGTTGCATACTCCTGGGATAGACAATCTTGGGCAACTGCCATGTAGACAGTTCCAAGCAAGAGAAGCCACCCAGTACTCACAAGACAATACCGAGCGAGGGAGGCAAGGATAAGGAGAGAGGGCAGGGGCCAGCAAGCAGCACCGAGGAGCAGATCCAAGAGGTGAGTCGGAGGAAGCAGACGAGCGACGTTTCGACCCTCCCTCCGCGCTCTGACTCACCCGTTCCGTCGGCCGGGCACCGCTCGCAGTGGGCCCCCCACGCTTTGCCCACGCTGCAGCAGCACGTCTGACGGGTCAGCTTGGTGGAGAGGGGGTGCTGGCACTGCTGGTCGGGGCTCACCAGCCGGAAACAGAGACTCCTCTCCCCGGCTTTCTCCGCTGTCCTCCCCGGAAAAGAGAGACAGAGAGGACGGTCAGAGAAGCCAGCAGAGGCAAAGAGGCAAAATGTGGGCTGGGACGGGTGGGGTGCCCCCCCCGCTTTTCCAAAGCCCAGCAGCGCAATCTGCAACTGAGGTTGTGTTGTGTGAATACAGCCCATCTTCAATCAAGGACAGGGAATCTGCGATTCCTCCTAGCTGCCACTGCATTCTTGCTGTTGCTTTTACTGTAACCGAAAAACAGGGGAGACTATTAAATACAGAAAGTCTGGGTTCACACAACATGCTAAACTAGGAAGCGAGGTCAAGCCTGTTGCAGTTTAGCGGGTTGCCGGAAGCCACCTTGTTAGGAAAACTGGGCATCGCTAACCTTGGCCTGATGCTTTGCTAACCTGGATTTAGCAGGTTGTGCGAACCCAGTCAAGCTGAAATCATAGGAGCAGGCTCGGTTTAATGTACTTTTAATTCAGGTAAGTCTAAATAGAATGAATTCAAACTGAAGAAGGCCCTCCCAGCCACGTTTCATCTCTTCAGTCTGGTCTGTAGCATTCGGAGGCTGAGTATGAACTCCTGAGATGCTAAGCGAACGCTAGGCTTGGTTGACTTGGGGTTAGCGTCTTGTGTGAACTCGACTGACATGATTGATTCAAGCTTTAAACAAACCAGGTGTGAAATCTCAGCCTAGACAACCCTGCAAGGTTGTTGTAGAGATAAAAGAGCAGGGAAATCTCAGACAGCCCGTCTCTCTCTTCTCTGCCTTCCCGCTATCTTGTGACGAGGAGACTTCGGTGGACCGGTGGAGCCAGTCCACACCTCTCTGCCCAACCTACCTCACAGGGCTGTTGTGCAAATAAAACAGGAGATGGAAGAATCACGCTTATTGCCTTGAGTTCATTTGAGGAGAAATAGTATGGGAATATGAGAGCGAAAAAGGGAAAAATATTTATTTAATGGGATTACAGAGGGCCGCCCAACTCAAAGAATGTGATTCTGGGCGACGTTCTGCAAAACACAAACGATAAACCCCCCAAATCAGCACGTCATTAAAAAGCCCACCCAGCATATAAAACGTCACGTGGCAACCAAGCACGGTCACTGAACGAGCCACTCGACGCCTGGGGAAAGGAGCTTAATGAATGTTAATGAACTCAGTCAAATTCATCTCTGGCCTCTACTCGGCCACGTTGTCCATTCCCTCGGTGGCGCTGAGACGGAAAATTCTAGGGACAAAGGACGGGGAATGACGCTGTGCCGTTTTTAAGGCAGCGCCGTGCCAGAAGCGTGTCACGGGTCGGAACGCTCCTTGCCCCGAGTCACACGAAGCCTTGCCCCACTGCTTTGGGGGCCCTCCCCTCCCTAGCAATGGCTGCGTTCAAGAGCTGCGCAATGGAGCTGTGTCCCATAGGTGTTTCAGTCTGTTTCAGGAAAGGGGACAACAGGAACCAGCAAGAGACAGAGAAGGGAGATGCAACCCCCCAACGCGATACATACGCACACAGTGGGTGCGCGAAGGTCCCAAAACCTGTCCCGGTTTACACGCGCAACGGAAGCTTCCTTGGGTGTTCAAACATTCTCCTCCTTGGCACACGCCTTGCATGGCGCACTCATTGATGTCTGCAGGAAAGAGAAAGGCTGAGGATAATTACTAATCACGGTGGCGGTTTTGACTTCCACTATCCGAGGCTGGACACTGGGGAGCAGGACTGAAGGATGTAGGCTGGCATCTGGTGGCATTTGGCGGGCGTGGTGGGAATGACCTGACCACCTTTGGGAGGGATCCAACATGGTTCACGCTGCCATGTATGGTGAGAAATGGCAAAGAAACAATTTTAAGGCTCTGGTGTGGCCTTCAGCTCAGTTGGACCATCATGGGGGAAGCTGGGGCCTGCAGATCAGTCTTATTTATGTCTCTGAAGGGTTTGGGGACCCTCCCACCCAAATTTGGTTGCCAAACGCCAGATATTCCACACTGCGGTTGTTTATATTTTTTTTCTTTCTCAAAAACCAGGGTGGGAAGACAGGCAAGCTACTCATGTTTTCCACTTGTAAAACTCCTTTTTAGTGGCACCATTTGAGTCCTTGGGGAATGACTCAAACGGTGCCACTAAATGTCCTCTGTTTTGTGGCACAATATCGCCAGCAGGAACCGGAGAAGCCCAAGATGGGACCAGCGGACCTTGCCTTCCTCTTCCCACATTCAACCCCACTCCCCCCGAAAACCCACTAAAAGCACGCTAAAAACTGCCCAGAATTTGAAAGTTTGATTGAAAGGGATCTGGGAGAACATCTAACTGAACCCAGGCCCAGAGCAAGAATCCAATCTGGCCATACTCCTTCTGCTAACATCGCCTTATTTCCAGATGTTCTGCAGAGGTCTACAGGGTTGAGCTGATCCCCAGATTACTCCAAGGCTATTAATCCCTGTCTTAGAGGCTTACTTGATGCCCCACCTCGAGTCCCATGTGCCACACCCTGTTAGAAAGGCTGAGGCAGGACTCGAACCCAGGGGCAAAATGTTCACCGCATCCGCGGGGACCCACAAACTGGAGCAAGGGCACCGCTGATTGTGTTTTCCAACTCACTGACAAACACACCCAAATTCCAAACACAAACACACGCGGAACGTCCCCCCCATGCTCTTGATGGCCTACCCTGGCAGTGAGTGCTGTTGAGGCGCTTGTAGCCCTGTGGACAATCACTCCCCATCGTCTTTTGCACCCCCAGGTCTAGAAGAGAGAAAACAGTGAGTGTTTAAGTCTTCCACATTACTACTTTCCCTTCTAACGCCTAAGCCAGTGTTTCTCAACCTTGGCAAGTTTAAGATGTGTGGACTTCAACTCCCAAAATAGCTATGCTGGCT